GTCCCTTAATAACATCAGCAAGGAACTGTAACCTCTGTTCTTTCCATGGGAGGGTGATGTGTTCTGGGGGAGGGGAAACAAGCCCTGTTCCGTAGTTAAGTAGACAATGAATCTTATTAATTCAGTTGTGTTCAAGAGTTGCTTGTCTGTATGATTTTAAAAATGGAGTCCAGTTTAGTTTCAAACATCAAACGAGCATTTTTCTTAAATTACTTTCGGGGTCATATTTAAAAAAAAAAAAAAAAAAAAGTTTTGTAACCCTGTTTAATAATGACCTAGGGAATAGAACACATTCCAGTGTACACCAAGAATACAGATTCTTTAATCAAATAAAGAGTATTATAAAAGGACACTGGCTGAGGCATTGCCCTGTTCATGTGTTGGAGTGTCTTCACTTTAGGTCTGTGCACAATGCCTGCTGTAAGCAGGCAAGGGCGGTGGTAGAGTTGTCTTGACTGCAGCCCCATGGACTTGACACAAGTAGATCATAGAAAAAAGCAGAAGGGGAACAGACAGTCTGGATTTCAGAGTCAGCTTTCTTGCCAGTGAGGAGGAACTTTCAGGATGGGCGATGTGGGGGTGGGGGTGGAGCCAGCTGTTGGTGAATGTGTCCAGGTTGCACTCCCTTGAGCGCGGGTGACACGACTCCTGGGGACACCTGCTTTCCCTGCTCAGCATCAGACAACCTCTTGTAGATGTGGTGTGGGACTGTCCTTGGGGTGGGGGCTAAAATAACCAGGCTAAGAATTCTGGCAGCTTAATGTTGGGTTAAGACACTGAGCACGTTTCCATTTTCACTCCCTTGCAGCTGCCTAGAGGCTGCCCCAGCAGTCCTCAGACTTGTTCAGCCAAAGCTGTGGTCCCCTGTAGGCACCAAACCAGGGCATTGTCCCAAAAACTCAGAAGTTTTGAAAACAGCATCCTCCCCAGTTCACAGGAACGGGGGCAGTGGGCTTGTGATCACCGGCAGCTGCAGCTTGGGAAAGCTGACTTGTGCATACTTTCTAGTCTTGTTTTCAAAGGGAAATTGAGAGAGAAGCAGTCCAAGGGCAGTGTTTTCTGCCCCTTCCCTCCCCATCTTTCTACTTGCACAAAGGGTGGGTGATGCAGTGCAGCAGGCCAGGCCTCTGGTGGTTGTAGCTTTAAGTGGAAAAGGGAGTTTGAAGATAAGCTAAAGAACAAACCGAACCTATGAAGTTGCCCCGAGTGTTAAATTCTTGGCCCTCCCCTTCCCATTCAAAAGCTCTCCACAAACGGGAGGCTTCACTGAACTGCTCTGCCGCGGGGGAGGTATTGCTTCAGCTCAGATGGAAAGGCTTGACCTGGAGCGGCTTGGGAAGAGCTTTGTAGTTGCAGGCAGGGCTCCAGGCTGCAGGAATGGGGCCTGTGCTGTTTGCCCAAGTATCAGTGCTTCCGGCTCTTCCCTCCCCGCGATGGTAGGGAGAGGATGTGGAACGAGGACAGCAGGCGGGCCTGGACTTGCATCTGCCCCCAAGGGAGCAAACCCGAGAGCCCCTTTCCTTCCAGGGAGGGGCAAACCTGTGCGGCGCTCGGTGCTGAGCATGGCTTAGCTGCTTTGTGTTTCTCTTTACCGACTCGGGAGAGCAGCTGCTAGAGACACCCCGTTTTTAATTCCCTGCCCTCCCCAGGCAGCAGCACGCGCCTGGGCTCTGCCCTGCTCGGGGTGCCGCTTGCCCCAGATGCAGCCTCCTCTCCTGATTATTCAGACCTGGGATGTCCTGATGTCCCCTGCGGTCCCTGGGAGCTGTGTAGTCTAGGAAGTGGGGAATTTGACTTTGGTGCGAATTAAGGTGAATTTCCGAGGCCTGGTGGCAGTGGCTCCTCCAGCAAACCTGCACTTGCGCTTTGGAGCACAAATCATTCTTTGTGAACTCGAGGGTTAAGGGCGAGTAAGTCCAGCTGGAGCTTGTGCCGAGGCGGCTGCTTCGCATTAGAGGAAGAATGCACAAAAACAAAGTTGGGGGAATAGCCGAGCACGAAGTGCTGGGGTGAGGCGGTAGAGAGGAGATCTCCGTTCCCTACTCGGCAGCAGGAGCCTTGGCCTCGTCAGGAAGCCCGGTTTTCCCCGAGACGGGACGGCACCGCCCCCGGTGTACCCGAGGCCGGGAAGGAAGGGGGCCGGCCCGCTTGCGGCCCGGCTGGACGGGCGGAACAAAGTTGGGGGAATAGCCGAGCACGAAGTGCTGGGGTGAGGCGGTAGAGAGGAGATCTCCGTTCCCTACTCGGCAGCAGGAGCCTTGGCCTCGTCAGGAAGCCCGGTTTTCCCCGAGACGGGACGGCACCGCCCCCGGTGTACCCGAGGCCGGGAAGGAAGGGGGCCGGCCCGCTTGCGGCCCGGCTGGACGGGCGGTGCCCGAGGCGGCCTGAGCTCCCAGGTCAGCGGGCGGCGCCGTGCGGGG